CGCGTATATGTATTTCAACATGTAAATACGACAGACTGATGCATGGGTCAATAAATAGATAAAATTAATTCGGTTTTGTTTTTGTCATGGAATGGTACCAATATTGAGACCGGAGCAGCGTTTTTCAGACCCTGCACCCTTCAGGTGACCAGCCCAATCATGTGTGCGTTGAGGACAAATCTGAACCAACAACATCCAACAACCACAACTTAGACAAATAGGGGCTTATTATGAATGATCTACTATTGGGATCTTTTTTTGGTGGGTAGCACCTTTGGTATGGGTTGGCTGCACAATGATATTGGATGTTGATGGATAGTGATGGATAGTGATGGGTCATGTGGGATGATACGCCCAGCAATTGTACAGAATTGTCCGATCCGGTGGGCTTCATCTATCTCTATGGTTCCACTCTAGAAAATCCCTGCTAATCGAACATGGCAATGACAAACTTCACACTCTACCTATGGAATATGGATGAATATGTATTGAATTTCGCGAGCTCTCGTTTATCAGAAATTGCGATTGAAATTCACCAACATGTGTTGAAACATTAGGTTGCGCCAAAATGAATTGTTTTTAATTCAATTTTGGGGAAACGAGACTTGTGAACACATATCATGAGATGCCGCCCTAGAACACATGACCATACAGCCATTAGCCACACTCATACAGACAGAAAGTTGATTAACTGCACTGGCACAGCAGTCTCAAAGTTCATGGGCTTAAAAAAAAGTTCAATGATGTAATCTAACAGCTTTGTGTGAATGATGATTATCAACACATGACAGATTTAATTGCTGAAACCATTGCAGATCTATGAATGGCAACCCAAGCTGGCAAAGCATTGCAACATCTAAGAAGTATGGCTTGAGTTGTCAAACATAAATGGGTCAGACATTAAGTTCTTATTGATTGATTAAACCATGCGAATTGGACAAATGTGATCTTGGCCTATGCAAAATCGATCAACTATGGTCATAAGTGATCATTTTCATGGCCACTAAAGCTTTGCAAAATTCTTCACACAGAATGTGTGGCAGAATGATGGTAATAGGTTTCGTTTGTGAAAAACTGCAAGCCACACACAAAGTTGTATGCAAAACCAATAATGATTACTAAACTTCAGTTTAACACATACATTGGGCGAAATCACCAACTTTAACAGGAATTTGGGTACTAAGCAAGTTTGTTTTGAAGTGCATGTGCAAGTGTGAAGTGGAGGCATGTTGCTTTATAGTCCAACTCATATTGGAAAAACAACTAGTGCAAACATGATGAATGTGCACAATATGTGTAAAAAAGTTTGAAAACAGCTTCCAAAACCACTCAATCTGAAACTGTTTTACACATATTGTGTCCCCAAGACTGGTGTGTATCAGAAATTCTGATACCAATCAGGTTTTGACATCCAAAAACATATGTATCAAACATTTCTGATATGTATCATAAAATTTTGATATGTATCATATTTTTTTTATATCAGAAATTTCTGATATGTATCAGAAAAATCTGATATGTATCAGAAATTTCTGATATGTATCAGAAATTTCTGATATGTATCATAAAATTTTTATATGTATCAGAAATTTCTGATATGTATCAGAAAAAGCTGATATGTATCAGAAATTTCTGATATGTATCAGAAATTTCTGATATTTATCATAAAATTTTGATATGTATCATAAAATTTTGATATGTATCAGAAATTTCTGATACATATTTTTTTTCAAGATGCATCAGAAATTTCTGATATCGTTCAAAAACAAACAACAAATGCATATTGTAAGGCACACCTTAAAAAAATAACTTGGGCAGCTGGCAGCCGGCAGCCCTAGAGTCTGAGTATTTAGGTAAGCAGAGCCGCCAACTTAGTTTATGTTTGTGACTACAAAAGGTGGTATCATGGCTACAAATGTATAGTAACCCGTTAGCTGCTTGCTAGAGTTGAGCTTTAGACTTTAGCCTCAAGCTTTTGGGTGAGGGTGGGGGGGTGGTGCAGGGGCTGGGGGGAGTAAGGCGGTGTGTTGCTTAGGATATTTTTTTGTTTTTTTTTTTGGGTACGGACCAATCGCTAGTGTCATGCAACCTGTTAGTATGGATGTTAAGCACATACAGGTCATTCTGTTGGTCTGTTGGATTTTGGGCCCATTTCAAGTCGCTAAAGATTTGCATCTTATTCTATTGTTTTTGTTGCTGGTTTGGAGGTTGCCTGCGTGGCGATGCGATATGTGTTTTTAAGTAACTTTTTTTCCCCCCCATACTTTTGAACACATCTGTGGCCCCCCCGTAGGCCAGACTATGTTGTGAACACATAACAGCCCAAAAAACATAACCTCGCGAAATTTCATATGAATATGGAGGAATTCCTTTGTTATGTTTGATGGCCATAGGGCGATTGGAAAGGTGTATAGTGGAAACTAGCTCTGCATATCTCTCACTGTTCGTTTCGTCGTGTCAATCATTTTCAATATGCATAACATGTTGGTCAAATCCATTCGTGCTTGCGACCCCAACTTTATTGAATCTATCAATGATATAGTTATCATAGTTTTGTTCCTTTTGATGGGGTCATCTCGTTTCAGCATATGTTTTGCACTTCGTAGAATAGCCACCACATGCTGCTGTAATTATGTCATTTTATTGGGATTAATCTTCATTTTTCTGGCTGAACGTATCCTCATGTTTAATGGTAATACGGTCATTGACAAGTCCTTTTGCCAGAAATCATCAACGCCCCCACCCGGCACATGAAACATAATAAGTACTGCCAACCCACATCCGGATACATTTGGGCAAATAACACTAACTCACAACCCTGAGTAACCCGTGATAATGGCGCGGCTGCAAAATCATGTCCCCATCTTCCATCAAAATTGACCAAGGCATGCTCAAGGAGCCAACCATTCACATAAACTTTACTATCATCATACCCAGATCTTTCTTTTATGTAAAACAATCATAAACCATCCCCCAGTCACCATAGGTTTTCCTTGGTTACCATTCCCATGGGTGGTTGGTGACATTGTTTTACCCACATTGGTTAAACACATGTCCAAAAAAAAACATATTATTTGATGTCAACCCCGGATTAATAAACCATGGTCTATTAATTAGGGGGTTACTTCTCCAATAGTCATAATCTAATATTATACTTAAATGGCCCTCCCAATTAAACAGCCTAGGGGGTTATTCATCCAGGGTTGACATTGCACGTGTTTCTTGGCTGCAACCCATGCCGGCCATCCGTCAGCGGTTCAGCTGCTCCTGGCTCTTGTGGGAGCGCCAAATCAAGCCCTCGAGCAAAGTTTCAGCTAAAAAGGGTGCCTCCCGTAGGATGTTGTCCGCGATGTTGGGCTGATACCTGGATCAGCCTAGATTTGAGTTGGGAGTTCATATGAGTTGAATTGAGTTTATACCAGTAGTACCCGCACGAGGCGGGGCGGAAGTTGCCTTAAAGATATATATATATATATAAGACCTTTCTCATCTATAGAACTTGCATGCGCCGTGCGCCAGCCAAGCCCGTGCGTGCGTGCACTCTGCGAAAGTGGTGTCCTGTTTCACATGTCACATTTGAAGCTCCACTTCGCCCTTCACACTTCTCACTGCACTCTTCACACTCCACACTGCACACTTCACACTCCACACTTCTCACTTCACACTGCACTCTTCCCAATCCACACTTCACACTCCACACTTCACACTTCACAGTCCACACTTCACACTTCACACTTCTCATTGCTTTCTTCACACTCCACACTTCACACTCCACACTTCACACTGCACTCTTCACGCCCCACACTTCACACTGCACTCTTCACACTCCACACTTCATCTCATCTGAGCTCTTCTCAACTTATTCCAGCTCATCTCTTCTCATCGCATCTCTTCTCATATGTCATCTAAGCTTTCATGAATCACTTCCCAGTACTGCTACTAAGTTCCGTGCGTGCTTTGTGCGAAGCTGTTGCAGTGTTGCTGTCCAAGAACATGACCTGCGCGCGACCCCGGTACAATGCAAACACTTTCCTCACACTTCACATTGCACTCTTCACACACAACACTCCACACTTCACACTTGCACTTCATCTTAACTCATCTCATCTGAGCTCTTCTCATTTCATTCCATGTCTTCCCATATGTCAGCTAAGTTCTTCTTGGCTATTTTTATGTCAAGAACTTCCCAGTACTGATGTCTACTAGCAAAGCTTGCAAAAACCACTTCCCAGTACTACTTTGTACTACAAAGCTTGCAAAAACTACTTCCCAGCACTACTTTGTACTACAAAGCTTGCACAAAACGCGTTCCAGTACTACTTTGTACTACAAAGCTTGCACAAAACACTTCCCAGTACTACTATGTACTACAAAGCTTGCACAAAGCACTTCCCAGTACTACTTTGTACTACAAAGCTTGCACAAAGCACTTCCCAGCACTACTTTGTACTACAAAGCTTGCACAAACTACTTCCCAGTACCACTTTGTACTACAAAGCTTTTTTTTTACAACCCACACAAGTTTCTGCGCGTGAGACCGCTACCCCCCCCGTGTTGGGGGGAGTCGGCTGCAAAGCTTGCACAAAACGCGTTCAAGTACTACTTTGTTCCACAAAGCTTGCACAAAGCACTTCCCAGTACTACTTTTTACTACAAAGCTTGCACAAAGCACTTCCCAGTACTACTTTGTACTACAAAGCTTGCACAAAGCACTTCCCATTACTACTTTGTACTACAAAGCTTGCACAAAACACTTCCCAGTACTTTGTACTACAAAGCTTGCACAAAGCACTTCCCAGTACTACTTTGTACTACAAAGCTTGCACAAAAAACTTCCCAGTACTACTTTGTTCCACAAAGCTTGCACAAAGCACTTCCCAGTACTACTTTGTACTACAAAGCTTGCAAAAACTACTTCCCAGCACTACTTTGTACTACAAAGCTTGCACAAAACACGTTCCAGTACTACTTTGTACTACAAAGCTTGCACAAAACACTTCCCAGTACTACTTTGTACTACAAAGCTTGCACAAACTACTTCCCAGTACTACTTTGTACTACAAAGCTTGCACAAAAAACTTCCCAGTACTACTTTGTACTACAAAGCTTGCAAAAACTACTTCCCAGCACTACTTTGTACTACAAAGCTTGCACAAAATACGTTCCAGTACTACTTTGTACTACAAAGCTTGCACAAAACACTTCCCAGTACTACTTTGTACTACAAAGCTTGCACAAACTAGTTCCCAGTACTACTATGTACTACAAAGCTTGCACAAAACACGTTCCAGTACTACTTTGTACTACAGAGCAAAGCTTGCACAAAACGCGTTCCAGTACTACTTTGTACTACAAAGCTTGCACAAAACACGTTCCAGTACTACTTTGTACTACAAAGCTTCTACGCACATCAAATTCTTTCGCAGAGAAGCTTTTACACACAGCAAGCTTTCAAGCAGAGAAGCTTTTACACACAGAAGCTTTTACACACAACAAGCTTCTTCACAGAGAAGCTTTCACACACAGCAAGCGTTTACACACAGAACACTTACACACAGTGCTTTTACACATGGCAAGCGTTTACACACAGAAACTTTTGCACAGAGACGCTTTTACACACAAAGAAGCTTTTACACACAGCAAGCTTTTACACACAAAATCTTTTTCACACAGCAAGCTTTCACACACAGCAAGCGTTTACACACAGAACACTTACACACAGTGCTTTTACACATGGCAAGCGTTTACACACACAGCAAGCTTTTTAAACAGAGAAGCTTTTACACACAACAAGCTTTTACACACAGCAAGCTTTCACACACAGCAAGCTTCTTCACAGAGAAGCTTTCACACACAGCAAGCGTTTACACACAGAACACTTACACACAGTGCTTTTACACATGGCAAGCGTTTACACACACACAGCAAGCTTTTTAAACAGAGAAGCTTTTACACACAGCAAGCTTTTACACAGAGAAGCTTTTACACACAGCAAGCTTTCACACACAGCAAGCTTCTTCACAGAGAAGCTTTTACACACAGCAAGCTTTCACACACAGCAAGCGTTTACACATACAGAGAAGCTTTTACACAGAGACGCTTTTACACACAGAGAAGCTTTTACACACAGAGAAGCTTTTACACACAGCAAGCTTTTACAGAAAAAGTTTTTGCACAGAGAAGCTTTCTTGTACATAATCACAACAGGAATTGCAGCTCCAAAACCGGATCTCGACGCCAAAGCGACAAAAAGACGATTTTGAAGCACTTTTTAAAAGGAATTTGAAAAGGAAAATTATTAGCGCCAAAATTGAGAAAATCTGCTGACAAATCGCTATCGCAGCCTTGATGCAGCCATGCCAATACGATTTGCACCAAGCAACCTTGACGCAGCCACTACAATGCGATCTGCAGAGACTGAATTGCAAAACACATTAGAACTACGCGCAACGCCGTCGCGGAAATTGCAGCTCCAAAACCGGATCTCGACGCCAAAGGGACAAAAAGACGATTTTGACAACTTTTTAAAAGGATTTTTAAAAGGAAAATTATTAGCGCCAAAATTGAAAAAATCTGCTGACAAATCGCTTTCGCAGCCTGGATGCAGCCACCCCAATACGATTTACGATGTTCAGCTGCAAAAGACAATAGTATTACGCATGCAGCCGCGGCACCAAGCAACCTTGACGCAGCCACTACAATGCGATCTGCAGAGATTGAGTTGCAAAACACATTAGAACTACGCGCAACGGCCTCGGAAACTGCAGCTCCAAAACCGGATCTCGACGCCAAAAGCGGCAAAAAGACGATTTTGACAACTTTTTAAAAGGATTTTTAAAAGGAAAATTACTAGCGCCAAAATTGCGAAAATCTCCTGATAAATCGCTATCGCAGCCTGGATGCAGCCACTCCAATACGATTTACGATGTTCAGCTGCAAAAGACAATAGTATTACGCATGCAGCCGCGGCACCAAGCAACCTTGATGCAGCCACTACAATGCGATCTGCAGCGACTGAGTTGCAAAACACAATAGAACTATGCACAATAGCCTCGGAAACTGCAGCTCCAAGACCGGATCTCGCCGCCAAAGCACAAAAAAGACGATTTTGAAGCACTTTTTATTTATTTTAAAGGAAAATTGCAACATTCATGCAGCCATTCCATTGCGTTTTACAGCATGACGTGGCTAACCCGCATGCATCTACGCACATGGCAACACTAGATGACAACAATCATGCAGCCATTTCAATGCGATCTGCAACCACAGATTCAAGAAACGCATAGAACTACGCACACAGGAACAACCACTGGTTGCAGAACACAGAGGAGGAAACCGATTGAACTCTGAAACGTCAAACCGCAACCGCCGCAACAGAGAGTACCTTTCTCGCCGGCTTGATCCACTTTGTTGCAACGGAAAAACGCGAAAATGTTTCGTGCTCCGGCTTCCTCCCCAAAAGAAAGCCCATGCAACATTCATGCAGCCATTACAATGCGTTTTACAGCATGACGTGGCTGACCCGCATGCATCTACGCACATGGCAACACCAGATGACAACAATCATGCAGCCATTCCAATGCGATCTGCAGCCACAGATTCAAGAAACGCATAGAACTACGCACACAGGAACAACCACTCGTTGCAGAACACAGAGGAGGAACCGATTGAACTCGAAACGATCCAAGCCGCACCCGCCGCACACACGAGGTACCTTTCATCGCCGGCTGAAACCACTTTACACAGAAAAACACAAGGTTTCGTGCTCCGGCTTCCTCCCCAAAAGAAAGCCCATGGCCCATCCAACATTCATGCAGCCATTACAATGCGTTTTGCAGCATGATGTGGCTAACCCGCATGCATCTACGCACATGGCAACACCAGATGACAACAATCATGCAGCCATTCCAATGCGATCTGCAACCACAGATTCAAGAAACGCATAGAACTACGCACACAGGAACAACCACTCGTTGCAGAACACAGAGGAGGAACCGATTCAACTCGAAACGAGATCCAAACTGCACCCGCCGCACACACGAGGTACCTTTCATCGCCGGCTGAAGCCACTTTACACGGAAAAACACAAGGTTTCGTGCTCCAGCTTCCTCCCCAAAAGAAAGCCCATGCAACATTCATGCAGCCATTACAATGCGTTTTGCAGCATGATGTGGCCAACCCGCATGCATCTACGCACATGGCAACACCAGATGACAACAATCATGCAGCCATTCCAATGCGATCTGCACCACAGATTCAAGAAACGCATAGAACTACGCACACAGGAACAACCACTCGTTGCAGAACACAGAGGAGGAACCGATTGAACTCGAAACGATCCAAACCGCAACCGCCGCACACACGAGGTACCTTTCATCGGCGGCTGAAGCCACTTTGCACGGAAAAACGCAAGGTTTCGTGCTCCGGCTTCCTCCCCAAAACAAAGCCCATGCAACATTCATGCAGCCATTCCATTGCGTTTTACAGCATGACGTGGCTAACCCGCATGCATCTACGCACATGGCAACACTAGATGACAACAATCATGCAGCCATTTCAATGCGATCTGCAACCACAGATTCAAGAAACGCATAGAGGCATAGAACTACGCACACAGGAACAACCACTCGTTGCAGAACACAGAGGAGGAACCGATTGAACTCGAAACGATCCAAACCGCAACCGCCGCACACACGAGGTACCTTTCATCGGCGGCTGAAGCCACTTTGCACGGAAAAACGCAAGGTTTCGTGCTCCGGCTTCCTCCCCAAAAGAAAGCCCATGCAACATTCATGCAGCCATTACATTGCGTTTTACAGCATGACGTGGCTAACCCGCATGCATCTACGCACATGGGAACACCAGATGACAACAATCATGCAGCCATTCCAATGCGATCTGCAACCACGGATTCAAGAAACGTATAGAACTACGCACACAGGAACAACCACTCGTTGCGGAACACAGAGGAGGAACCGATTGAACTCGAAACGATCCAAACCGCAACCGCCGCACACACGAGGTATCTTTCATCGCCGGCTGAAGCCACTTTGCACGGAAAAACGCAAGGTTTCGTGCTCCGGCTTCCTCCCCAAAACAAAGCCCATGCAACATTCATGCAGCCATTACATTGCGTTTTACAGCATGACGTGGCTAACCCGCATGCATCTACGCACATGGCAACAAATGACAACAATCATGCAGCCATTCCAATGCGATCCGCAACCACAGATTCAAGAAACGCAAAGAACTACGCACACAGGAACAACCACTCGTTGCAGAACACAGAGGAGGAACAGATTGAACTCGAAACGATCCAAACCACAACCGCCGCACACACGAGGTACCTTTCATCGCCGGCTGAAGCTACTTTACACGGAAAAATGCAAGGTTTCGTGCTCCGGCTTCCTCCCCAAAACAAAGCCCATGCAACATTCATGCAGCCATTACATTGCGTTTTGCAGCATAACGTGGCTAACCCGCATGCATCTACGCACATGGCAACACTAGATGACAACAATCATGCAGCCATTCCAATGCGATCTGCAAACACAGATTCAAGAAACATAGAACTACGCAGGAACAACCACTCGTTGCAGAACACAGAGGATCCGATTGAACTCGAAACGATCCAAACCGCAACCGCCGCACAAACGAGGTACCTTTCATCGCCGCCTGCAGCCACTTTACACGGAAAAACACAAGGTTTCGTGCTCCGGCTTCCTCCCCAAAACATAGCCCATGCAACATGCATGCGTCACCACTTCCCTCCGTCACCACTTCCCTTCCTCACCACTTCCCTTCGTCACCACTCCCCTTCATCAGCACTGCCCTTCCTCACCACTTCCCTTCGTCACCACTCCCCTTCATCAGCACTTCCCTTCTTCACCACTTCCCTTCGTCACCACTTCCCTTCTTCACCACTTCCCTTCGTCACCACTCCCCTTCTTCACCACTTCCCTTCGTCACCACTCCCCTTCATCATCACTTCCCTTCTTCACCGCTTCCCTTCGTCACCACTTCCCTTCTTCACCACTTCCCTTCCTCACCACTTCCCGTCGTCACCACTCCCCTTCATCATCACTTCCCTTCTTCACCACTTCCCTTCGTCACCACTTCCCTTCTTCACCACTTCCCTTCCTCAGCACTTCCCTTCCTCACCACTCCCCTTCATCATCACTTCCCTTCTTCACCACTTCCCCTCCTCACCACTTCCCTTCTTCACCACTCCCCTTCATCACCACTTCCCTTCTTCACCACTTCCCTTCCTCACCACTTCCCTTCCTCACCACTTCCCTTCCTCACCACTTCCCTTCGTCACCACTCCCCTTCATCATCACTTCCCTTCTTCACCACTTCCCTTCGTCACCACTTCCCTTCTTCACCACTTCCCTTCCTCACCACTTCCCTTCTCACCACTCCCCTTCATCATCACTTCCCTTCTTCACCACTTCCCTTCCTCACCACTTCCCTTCTTCACCACTCCCCTTCATCAGCACTGCCCTTCCTCACCACTTCCCTTCGTCACCACTCCCCTTCATCAGCACTTCCCTTCGTCACCACTTCCCTTCGTCACCACTTTCTTTCGTCACCACCCTGTGTCATAGCTTCTGATTCTTCTGTTGTGTATTGTTAGATAATGTATTGTTCTGTGATCTACCACCCTTCATCATAGTCAATTGCATCAAGTAAAAGTCATTCGTAACTCGGAAGTATTGCTTCCCAACTTCCTTTGATGATTTTGAAAGATTTTATATGATTCTATTGGGATATTCATGTGGAACAAGATCCGTAAGAACGGAGGGGTTGATTGATTTTTCAGTATGTTTTGGCAAAACCATGCCACTTTATTTATGGGTGGAGAATGGAGTGAGAGGTCATTTGAATTTGAATCCGGTAATGGGGGAACTTTGAACACCAATACTTCTATTGTATTGGGATAAGTCGCTACTGTATCTTATATATATATACGAATATTATATGGTATGATTCATGTATAATCATGGTCGCATATTGAAAGACACATAATGACACATACATGTAGATACGCAAATGCATGCGTATAGTTGTACAGAATCTGTAATCACAGCAGCATACACATGGGATAGATAATGAGTCTGTCTGGACAATAAAGTACGCTTCAGCTTGAGCAATTTTTCCTCTAGCAGCACAGTAAACATAAATACCATTGCATCAGCATTCCAGCCACATACTCCCCGCCTAAACAGTTCATCTGCACCATAGTAGTAGTGATCTCTGTCCTCGGCCAAGCAAACAGTTGCTATATGGATGCGCAAACAGATCAGGAAATGCATCGACCCTCTTCTGAACAAACATTGAAACGGAAAGCATGTGGATCCAACAAGACATCATCGATCCACATTTTCTGTCCCTGTGTGGATATTTTGCGGTGGATGATGTACTGCAAGTCCCTCACTGTTACCGTATATCCTTGATGTTCCTACCTCAGCTGATTCAATCGACCACGCCCAATTCAGCCACAATCTATCTCTGGATGCTTCATTCGCAATAGTTGGCATGATCCTTCTTCATTTAAGGCTCTCTCTCTCTCTCTATATATGTATACATAATCACACATATATTAAATATATGTACACACATATACACAATTGGGTCACGAACGATGGATATCAAAGATACGCTACCCACAAATGTCTTTAGCAGAATAGATCATAATATATGCACAGATATGTCTATCAAACGAAACAACACATGTCCACCTACAAGTCACTTGGAGGATCATCCCACCTACTGTCCGTGGTTAATAATCCTAGTGCCCATGTCGTGGGTTATCCCATCAATGGATTACAGCTATGGTTCTTAACCACTGATCCTCGAAGTCGCTTGAAGTAGTGATTGCCCCGTTACATTCCATTTTATTCCAGTACCCTGGAAGTCCAGGGGCTGAAAAAGTACGTCCTCATGAAAATCCGTAGAAAGTGGGCTGAAAAAGTACGTGCATGTAAAATCCTCATGATGTACCTTTTGAGGTCCCGGGCTGAAAAAGGAACATTGCTATAACACTCTTTGAATGTACTTTTTGAGGTCCCGGGCTGAAAAAGGAACATTGCTATAACACCCTTTGAATGTACTTTTTGAGGTCCCGGGATGGAAAAGGAACATTGCTATAACACCCTTTGAATGTACTTTTTGAGGTGCCGGGCCTAAAAAGGAACATATAATAACATGGGAAGGAAAAACATATTTTTTTAAAATTATCAGGATGGGGTCCACTCACGATTACTCACGATTTACTCACGATTTTAGAGCTGCTAGATGTACCTTTTGGGTCCTTTACAAGCCTAAAGGACGCATTTGGTACATCCCACTCACGATTACTCACGATTACTCACGATTTCTCTTTTGCAGTGTGTGTGATCTCACTTTGCAATGTGTAGTCACAATGCGCGCGCACAATCATTTTTTTCTGATGTGCCATATGAAAACACACAGCAGCCGTGCCCCATGTCTCAACAAATTTGAAAAAGGATTTGAAGAACCCTTGATATTGCTATAAACCCTCGGCCGTAGAACCCTTGATATTGCTATAAACCCTCGGCCGTGGAACCAAGCAACATTGCTATGAACCCTCGGCCGTGGAATCTCAGCATTTGCTATAGTTTCTCGGCGAAGACCCTTTTTCGTACCACATTCGGCAAGGACTGAAAAGTGAGGCCTTAGGACTTAGAGGGGTATATATATATAATCCATGGGAATCCATGAACATCCCCAGGAAAAAAAACATTCACGTGAGTTGCTCAAGCTTCCGCCCGGATGGTCAGTACATCTTGGATCATGAACTTGGCAGTGTCATGGGCACCACTCCTGGAAAAACGACCAAACATGCCGCTGTCTATTTGGAGATGTCAAGCCCAAGGAGGAGGAGGAGGAGGAGGATGATGATATATATATATATATGTATAAATTAACATATATAAATGATGTATGTATATATCTCACTTTATTTATCTATTGATTCTGGTTTGCACCTTGTTGGGATCTATACATTTGGATCTATTTCGATATACGTGGATCTATTTGGGTATGTCAACAATGATCTGGAGAACCATGTTCTAATTCATTTGTTGAATGGCTTTGGGTATATCAAAACAATATGGAGCATTCCCTTCACCATTCGATATTCCAGCGGATTTTCAGGGGCTTGGGTGATCCCTGACATAATATATTTTTTCATACAGCAACTATAGTAATATATAATAATATACAATGGCACTCGCAAAAAGTCCGAATAAAGACATGTTCCCATCTGTTTTCAACGGTTCCACAAACCCTATGTTTGCACAACCCCTATGTTTGCAAGGCGGTTTCATATCGCTTGATTTTTGTCTTTGTTTGTCTTCTTCGTTTCTGGTTGTCTGGGTTTCTTATTTGCTTTATTTGGTTCACATCGTCTATCGCTTTTTTAAATTCCTGATGCAATCCTGCCGTCTCATGTCCAATGGAACATGTATGGAAGATGTTTTTTCTGGGACATTTAAATATCTGGTTCCAGATATTTCCAGAGGCCCTAGAGGCCCTAGAGCTTCAGCAAACTCAGTTGGGCTCCTGAGTGACCAAAACAAGGGTGAAATGGATTGGCTTCCCACTTGCACCGCCAGCTGCCATATGGCTCTTTCCACCTGCATGGTCTGCCAGTGGCCAAATTACTGGGGGTTCATCTGAAAACAGCCAGGGAATGAGTTTTGGGAAATGCAACCAACGTTGGTATATATAAATATATGCCAACATCATTTCAGTTTTATTCAGTGACTTCTCAACAGGTTCGGTACTGTAGCTCTTCCTCTTCAGTCAACTTTTGTGATTCGTTTTCACCACAGCCAGGGCAATCCAATCATGGTGGTGGAAAAAGTTGAATTTGGAGCTCACAAGTCTTCAAGACCAAGCCGAGCATATGCGCAGTTGATAAAACTCTATGTGACGGCGGGATGGTTGAACTGGTTGGTTTTACCGGTTCGCTGATGGCAGGATTCCGCAATTCTTAGAAATCATGGAACATGAAACGTGATGGGGAGCTGAGTTGGGATCACCATCCCAGATATGCAACTGAGAATCAACACATCTGACTGAAACTTGAAACCACCAATACTTTTTTTTTGATATTACCCATCAAAAACATACCTATCACTATAATTCTATAGACCATATTTGACCACATTTCTGTGCTAAATTCACAAAAACCAGGTTTGGATTGGTTGAATATCTACATTTCACTGTAGTGAAACCCCCATTGTAGATTCCCAGTTCATTTATGTCCAAAATAAGTAAAATTGCAAACAAAACATAAAAATACTGCATACTGTATCCAATGTTCATCATGTTTTTTGTTATCTTTCTGCCTTGCAACTGCCCCAGCCGTAACCGCCGACAGTCGAGAGGCCCTCGGAGCATCCAGCAAGGCCCGACGAAGGCGTTTGGAATCGTCGAAGTGAATGGCTTGCCTCGCTGAGATCACGTGCTTCTTGGAGAAATCCTACCCGGATATACCCGGATTCTCCAAAGTTTTTACCTAAATATGGTTATAAGTTATATAGATATAGGAATATCTAGATTTATATATGGTTACCATATATTATCTATTATCCATATAAACAAAAAGGGTGCTCCTGATTTTCTGAAGACTCCAACCCAACCTGAGAACATGACAAGGGGAATCCAAGGGATTTGAATCAAGTACCCCGGCTTACGATCCTCCTGGGCCGTCAAATCTCGATTCTTCCAAGGGTTGGATGGGAAAAACGGAGCGCAAGTTGGAACCACTGAAACAGTTGATGATATGTTTATGTTTTATGTGTACGCACACTTATATATATATATATTAATATTATATATAGAGTGCATACATATATACCACTCAAATGTGTTTTGTTTAGACTGGACTTTGGCACCCCAGAAGTCCACCATGTCTTTACCATGTTTGGCACCTTTCCGATCTACCGATCTATCGGTCAGCCAGGTTCC